GTGTGTGTGTGCAAGGTTCCCACCCGACACTACCAAGTGGCCCAGGCAATGATAGCCATACACGCACTCATTGGGATTATAGAGAGGACTTGTGGGCTTGGCAAGGCTATTGTCTTACTCACTCAAACAATCATATATCATATCTATTTATATGCTCTCTATTATCTTCCTCACTCACACAATCATATATCATATCTATTTATAAAATCTCTATTATCTTCCTCACTCACACAATCATATATCATATCTATTTATATACTCTCTGTTATCTTCCTCACTCACAGAATCATATATCACATATATTTATAATCTCTCTATCATCTTCCTCACTCACACAATCATATCTATTTATGAACTCTATTATCTTCCTCGCTCACACAATCATATATCACATCTATTTATAAACTCTCTATTGTCTTCCTCAGTTACACAATCATATATCATATCTATTTATAATCTCTCTACTATCTTCCTCACTCACCCAATCATATATCATATATATTTATAAACTCATTATTATCTTCCTCACTCACACAATTCTGTATCACAGCTATTAATAAACTCTTTATCATCTTCCTCACTCACACAATCATATATCATATCTATTAATAAAGTCTCTATTATCTTCCTCACTCACACAATCATATATCACATCTATTTTTAAAATATCTACTATCTTCCTCACTCACACAATCATATATTATGATCTTACAACACATACACTCAGGACACGGTTACAACCCCACACTACCAAGTGGCGCAGGCAATGGTAGCCATACATGCACTCAACGGGATTATCGAGAGGACTTGTGGGCTGGGTGTGGCAGCCAGGTCAGTTTATGACATGAGTCGGCGTATGATGCTCGACTGTGGAGACGAACTGGTGCAGAGTACGCTTGGGGTATGTCGGCTATTGTGTGTATAAGAATATGTATTTATATATATATATTTATATATATATATACATAATATATATATATATGTGTGTGTGTATTATGATTAATATATATGTGTGTATTTTATGTTTTATACCTGTTATGTATATTATATAGCTATTTTGTATATACGTTTATGTATATACATGATGCTCGGCTGTGGACACCAACTGGTGCAGAGTACGCTTGGACTATGTCGGCTATTGTGTGTATGAATATATATATATATATATATATACATGTGTGTGTGTGTGTGTATTATGTTCAATTTATATGTGTGTAAATTATGTTTTATACCTGTTATGTATACTATATAACTAGTTTGTTTTTACGTTAATGTATATATGATTGTGGACACGAACTGATGCCGAGTACGTTTGGGGTATGTAGGCTATTGTGTGTATGAGTGTGTTCAGGTCAACCCTGAAGTGTGCACTCTATGTTAAAGTTGCGCATGTGTGTACATGTGTATTCGGCTGATTGAGTATATCTCATATAGGACTTCTAATACGCTCTTCAATGCCCACCTGAATTTGATGATTACATAAATACCTGTGTCATATTCATGACAACTCACGGGAAATATCTTCACACACTCTTTCTCACACACACACACACACACACACACACACACACACACACATATT